TGATTTGAATTGTGAGCCGCCCTGAGTCCCCTTCGGGGGGAAAAGGGCGTCATATAAATATAATCAAATCAAATCAATCAAGAGCCTGTGAGTTCCCTCAAGCATGAAAACTGACTGAGTCGTTGTGGGTCAATCACCAGGAGACTGTGAGTTCTAGTCCCTCCTTAGGCATGAAAGCCGACTGGGTCACTTTGGGGCCAGTTCCTCCTCCTCAGCCCAACCCACCTCGCAGGGTTGTTGTGGGGAAAAAATAGGAGGAAGGGTGTGTTGGATATGTTCTTGAGTTATTTATAAACAAGAATAAATTGCAGGGAGGAAATAAATTTGGCTCAGCATGTTGTACTCACAAAATGCTGAGTTTCGAGTAGGGTTAGTTTTGTAATCTTTTGTCATTCTTGCAAAATGTTCGGCTTGCTGGACTTCTGTATTTCTCTTAATAGTAAATTGTTTAATTTACGTAGCAATTTATTTCTCCCTGTGAAATGCCAATTCTGGCCAACTAAGCTATATTTCTAACCAGATGGATATCCGTGCTTCATGACAAAAGTACGTGATCGGGCAATCCATCTCGTTCCGATTCAATCTGTTGCTCAGTGGTGGTCAGTGATTGAAACACATAAGGGAATATCGTTCCCGCCGCCTTGAGTTCGGAAGCAGTTCCATAGGTGTAAGGCGTAGACATTTTGGTGAGGTACCAACATTTAGTACTTTAAAGAGCCCCAGACCGCTCCTGAGTGAAGGAGTGGAATGTCTGCCAATTTGAACTGAGGTAACAGAATGTGAGGCAACTGGCAGTTAGAACAGAGTTTTTTCAGGTGGGGAGGGGGAGTAGAACTCCTTAACATTAGAGTATGTTAATTACTGTGTAAGAAATACTAATGATCTGATGGTCATTTCAAAAATTCCTTTCTTAGTGATCACCTAGAAGCCAAGAGAAACATACGTGCCAAATTTCAAATTTGTAGGCTTTACAGTTCTGGATATTTCATGATGGTGCGTGAGTGGCCTTTTATATATATATAGATTTTGAGCCTGGTTTCTTAATTGCTTTCCTCCTGTTATTTGGTTTAGTTCATTGGAACAGATGACAATTAGCACATTTCCATTCCTGGGGGCTTCAATCTACTTTTTTCATTTATTAAATGATTCATCCCTGTTACAGACGTACTCCAGAAGATACAAGGTATCTTGGCTGTTGTAATTGATTTTTCCCTTCTTTTTCTTCATAATACATAAGAGGGATCACTCTATTTAAAAGGACTTTTCTGACACTGGATGTGTAGGACTTCCAGGAAAACCTGATTTCAGATTATGAAATGGAAGAGCAAGGACAAGCGGGAAGTGGAAAGCACTGTGAAGTCCTAAGTGCTAATGCTTTTACACCGGTTTGGTGAATCGACCCCAGCAAATGGAGGGATGTGAGCTGTAGAAAAGGATTTGAGCATGCTCCAATCTCCCTCCCTAAGGAAGATAGTTGTAGGAGAAGAAACGGCAGAACCTGGGGGCAGAGTCAAAAGAGGAACCAGCCTAGAATCCTTGCGTAATCACAAGCAAACTCAGTCCAGCTCCCTTGAACTCCGCTAACCCAGCGGTGTCCAATCTTTCCAACTTGGCGGCTCAGCCCGGTACAGGTGTGTGTGTGAGTGGCAGGCACGCTCATGGGCACAGCTCCCATTTGTGTGAGTGACACACACCCTCCACTCACACAAATAGAGATTTGCGCAGAAGGAGAGGGTATAGGTTTTCTTGCTTGATCAGGAGGTTGGACTAGAAGACCTCCAAGGTCCCTTCCAACTCTGTTAGTGTATTTGCTGTGGCCCACCAGCAAAGCTGGACAGTGAGGTTGGGGAGAAGCATGGGCCAGTCCTGGAGTTTGGGAAAGGCTCGGACGAGGGCTGTGTGTCGGAGGCCGAGACAGGGCCGAGGCTTCCTGTCAGTGATCAAGTGCCTACGGAGCTAGACAGCAGCGAGGCAGAAGAACAGCTGGAGCCTGTTCCCAGAGTGCGCATGCGCAGAGCTGCCAGAAGAAAAGAACAACTCAGAAATCAGGGTCGACTTGGGAGTAAAGCCACAGGTGGANCCCCCCCGGTCAGTGGTGTCCCTCTTTACCAATCTGAAAATCTGGTCACCTTAACATACACTTCAAAAGGAACAGAATTTAGGAAGAGATGCTAGAATGTAGCTTTGTGAGAGCCTGTTAATGATGCTGCTTAAGCATTTCATCCATGTATATTATCATTCTATTGTATTGGGTAAATTGTATTCTTTTTGTAAAACCTCATATTTTAAAGATACTGTTACTAAAAGATGATTCAAATTTGGTTCAGGTTTTTTTTTGAAGGAAAAAAATCCCCAGCTGTTTTAATTAAGAATTGCTTCAGAGTATTATAGTCTCATGAGAAAAAAAGATCAAATTTAATTTTTTTTGTCCAGTTAAAAGACTACTGAAAAGTAACCAAATTCTCACTATGATTAGTACCAAGAACTTTCCAGGAACATATGGGTGCTCAATATTAACTCTGAAGCTGAGCCCACAGTTATAAATTGTTAATATCATTTTTATTCCAGGACTTGATTGTGGTTAACAAGTATGCTTCTTGGCATTATTTGAAACTAGAAAATTAAAACCCTAATCATAAGGGAACTGTACTTGAACTTCCATAAAGAAATGGTCATTAATTTATTAATATATTTAAAATATTTAAATGGAAAGTAGGCATTTCTGTATTAATATATCAATTTTGGTGCAAAATTAATTTTACAATATTAATACTTCCCCATAAACCATTAGATATTCATCTATCTTTTAATATCCTCATTCATCTGAGTAACACTATTGAAATATTTGTATGCCTTAAACAGGATATTTTCCAGGAGACAATAATCTCCAGGTATATAATAGAATCTGGACAATAAGCAACAACTATTTGCTCAGAAATGTCTTGCTAACTGGGATAATGTTTTATTTATTACAAGTTACTATTTGCTGAGAATAATACTTTCAGATTGAAAATAAAATTTTCTTAATCATCATTTAAAAAATCATTTGCATATATAATACTTTAGATTTAAATTTAAGACTCTCTGGATTTCACCAGTTTGTTTTATTAGACATGCCAAGAGTTCCAGCATCAAATTAAAATTAGAGGACATATTTGATATATTTTAGTTACTAGCCAGATGTACCTATCAGTAATTGCATAAACAGATGAATTACAATAATACATTGTAATCCAAATCTAAATTTGAACCAAAAATTAGATTTGAATCAAATCAAAACTCTTCTGCATAGAGCGAGGCAAGCCCAGTTGGTTCATATTTATTAGCATGCAAAGCTACTACAGAAGCCTCAAGTCTTGTATTGACTGAGGCACAATGCTTTGTCATGAGACTGACTGTTTAGGATGACTTGTTAAAGGGATTACCTTCTGTAATCTTTCCAGTATAACTCTGCAAATCTCAGTATCAAACATCTAACAGAGATTCTAAATGTACAGAGGATGTTTGTCGTCTTTCAAAATTATAGTGATGTATACAGCACCTGGCAGATCTTTAATTTCAGAAAAAGTTTGAAATAGTTCCAAAGGTATAACTTTCTCCATATAATTTTTATATCACTCTATTATTTTCTCTATGACCCAGGAGCCTTCCAGATTTCCTGTAGTGCTTAGAGTGCAACTAAATAACCTGGCAACACATTTGATATTTCTGGAAGATTTGACACTTAAAAAAAATCTGCTCATTAGCTACATCTACAAAGCACATTTTAAAATAACATACAAGAAGTTAAATGGGATTAATTTGCTATAATCACTGTAAATTGTTTCCCAAGAATCCCTTCTTAAGGGCATTATTTTACTTAGTTGCACATGTTTCCAGCAAGAGGGCCAAAATTACTTTCCCTGATTTTTCTACTTATTTCTAGTACTTTTGTTTCCATTCATGCAAAAGGTCTGGGATAAATTAATAATAATAAAAATAACAATAGTCTATGCTCATGCAGATAAGCAAGTAGCACCCATAGATTCCATAGATCTCCTTTTCAAATTAGACTTCCTTTTCTCCATAGAGTTCATCCATAGATTTCCTTTTTTACATCCATATCCTGGGGATTGCAAGCACACAGGAGAGGCCCGTGTATAGCAGTGATTGGCTGACAATGACTAGGCCACTAAGAAATGATCTGCAAAATTATATAAGTGCCACTGTTCTGTTAATAAGGCAGTAATGAGTAATGATCCTCTGTCCAATGCATGAAGCTAACAATTAAGCTAGCAGTCACCAGTGTATGTGTCTATCTTTTAAATTGTGCAGTTGTGAAAGGGAAAGACTAAGCTGTGTTTGAGGGATCTAGTGCAAATTTATTCATATGTTTGACTTTTCACCTTCTTTGTGAACTTAGAAGGATAAATATACTGTAGATGCCATCACTTCCTTTAATTCTATCATTGCAAGAACTTGTGCATCTTAGTAATGCATTTGCAGAGATAACTGATGGATTATTAGGATCTGAGGAAGCTGGTGTTATCCTCTAATATCCCCATTGTGTTTGAAATAGTCATGGTCACCAAGAGAACTCACCTTTATTGAATTTGTATGAAGATCTGTATTAGACAGTATATTGCATAAAAGTCTTATGTAAGAAATGTTTATTGCATGATCACAGAATCTTTTTGAAGTTAGGGGTCCCCCCCCCCAAGGGTGCCTTTAAAAAAAATCTTAAAAATATGTGTACATGCCTGTGTCTTAAAAAATGTGAGTCATATGCTTCCTGGAGGCTACAAGTTTTCCATTTGTGCCTTAAGAATTGGAACATTACAGTAGTCTGCAATGGTCTCTATCAATAAATTGCATTTTTCAAGAAGGTGGCAGGACCTGGAGAGAACCTATGGATACAGTTTATGGTCACAAAGTTGTATATTTGATTTGAGAAAGAATCTGCCCTATGAGATCTGTTTTGTCCTTTGAAAAGGACTGTTAAACCCCAGGCTATACAACAATACTAATCCTGGCAGATACAATACACAGCTGCCATAGCAACATTTTCAACTAATCATTTAAGGTCTTCCAAGGGCAAGAGTAATCTTAACAGATTTCTCCCTAATCCAGAGATATAATCTGCTTTCAAATTGTTCCTTTGTGTTCCTCCTAATAAATGTTTGTTCTCAAAATCAAAACACCACAAAGGATACACATGATAATTTTGGAAGCAACCTTATAAACTCTTTAACACTGGACCCTGTTGGAACAACTAAAGAAGAAATAACTGTTGGTTGACTATTACACAACTCCAGTTATATCACACTGAAGCAGTTGTTTCACATATGTATTGGGTTTCATCTGTCGGAAGTTTGATGCCGGGGTAATATGAACAGATCTATATACACACACACAAACACACACACACACACACACGCACACACAATGTGTATGTGTGTGTTTTCCAGCATAACTGTGGAATGCCTCGAGCAATTTCAACCAAACTTGGTACACAGATGATTTACTCTCTGGAGAAAAATACTGTGGGGTTAAGGCACCCCTAACATCCCTTGGGGTGGGTGGATGTTAAGATACAGCCTGTTGTGCCATACTGGCATCTACTGTACAGTGCAGTGGAGTTGCCATGGTAATGGATTCACAGCACTCCACAAGGGGGGTCCCTCTGGTAAGGGAGAAAATCAAACAGTAGAAATTACGTTTGGTCCGGACATTTTCCCCCTATAAATAAATACCCGGACAATGCCAGGTTATTGGCTAGTAAGCTCTATAATCACTTTCTGTTCTATCTTTGCAACATGGCTATTAAAGTTCATTAGAATAGGCAAGTTATGGCTGGCTTTAAAATGGAAACCAGACAGTAGTCTGTGCTTTTTGCTTTGTGTTTGCCACTTCTGTGAATTGTGGACTCTGCCAATTGAAAGCTCACTGACTTTGTCTTCTGAGAACACCTCCAGCCTGCTTGTCTAGCTAGCCTGCTGGTTTTTTTCTGTCTGATTCAGTTGAGCTGCAGTCTTTAAGCATATTTAGGCAAAATTGCCTATTATAAATACTTACATTCCTTTAATTTTGTTTGTCTAGAAATTGTCTTTTTATATCCCTCCGTCTTTCCTCAGATTAGTACGAGAAGTGACGGGCGTCAATGTCAATATGCGAGTCGGAATCCACAGCGGGAGAGTTCACTGCGGAGTCTTGGGCCTCAGGAAGTGGCAGTTTGACGTGTGGTCAAATGATGTCACGTTAGCCAATCACATGGAAGCCGGTGGCAAAGCAGGGTAAGAGCACTCGGTCAGAATGCAGTTCGGTGCGAATATTTCCATCTGTCCATGTGTCAGAGTGGAGTACTTGGCTGTATATAAATGGCGTAAGTTCACTCCAAACAATTGCTAGAACCACACAGTGCTTTCACAAGTGGTTCTTATTTCTAAATCTCCTGGTTACTAAATTAAGGAGACTGAAAAACACATCTCTCTTGAGTTGCCCTTTGTAAACCAGCAATTCGGGCAGTTCCTTTGATTGGATAAATATTCCATGAAACATGGATTTGTGCTATGTTTTCACATTCAAGTATCCGTCTTAGGAAAGAGGGACAAAAATTGGTGAAATATAAGTGTTTTTCCATGAAGAAGACTTCACCAACACAAATAGATAATGTTTTCTTCTAAATTGCCTATATTAGGATTTTTGCCCTGTATAGAGGTGGGGGGTGGGGGGTGGGGGGATTATCATGGGGGAAAATGTAGTTGCATTCTAAACATTCTAAAATGTTTACTACTTGACTTCTGTTACTAACAAATGGATATTACAATTTAATTTTCTTTTGTCTGTGATCAAGGCGAATCCACATAACAAAAGCTACGCTAAACTACCTAAATGGTGATTATGAAGTGGAGCTGGGCCTTGGAGGGGAACGCAATGCTTACCTCAAGGAGCATAGTATAGAGACTTTCCTCATTGTCCAATGCAGCCAAAAACGGGTAAGAACCAAATAGGATTGAAGTAATCATTATTGAAACTGCACGTAGCAGAGTGCTACAGCTGATGAGTTGTTATACATTATACATGATAAGTTTGTATGCATTCATAGTAGCCTTTTTATATAGGGCATTCTGTCTGAAATGTGTTCCCCTAGGATGAAAAGGACATTGACAAATCCCATCTAGCATAGTCAATTTCTATTTCACCTCCTCAATCTTCACTTTTCCAGAGAAGATTGGGGAACTAATATTTCAAATATTTTAGAGAGATTTCCTCCTACAATCAGAAAGCTCTACCATACTTTAAATTATTCTGAAAATGTGACACCTTATATAATGAAATTTTAAGCTTTCGTTTCAGTTTTAACCATCTCTTCTGAAACCAAATGATTCTGATTTTAGAGAGTCTAATATTGAAAGTTGTAGGTTTATAAATTTAGTACAAAATTATCAAGCAATGAAAATGAGTCAATATTTATTAGACTTTTTGAAATATATTCCTTTATTGCTACTCATTGTTGGAGAAATTCACATTCTCAAAGTATTTACAAAGCACCCTATCCCTATTTGGTTAACAGAAATTTTGGGAGGGCATTTTTGTTTAGTTTTATAAATAAGATGTTATAAATAAAATGTTCCTACATTTCCTTTTTTTTCCTTCTGCTGTGAGACAATAGAGGAAAATTCTTTTGCATATTTACATGAACTGAGTGCCAATGTAAATTGTACCAGCAATTCTAGCTTCCATTATCCCCTACATTAGAATTTTTACTTGCTAATCTTCTGGTCGGTAATTCTGGGACATTTAGTTGTTCAGCAGGCACATTACTTCATAATATATAAATATTTCTTCTTCTAAAGTGATGACCTTATTTAGTTTCATGTACATACATAGTCTCTTCTGGAAAAGAAAATAGCTATTTGCTACTCTGAAGCTCATGTGTACTACCATAATTGGACTTTATAGTATAATAAATCTCCCAAAGTAAAGCAAAAGTCACATGGAGAAAGAAAATGAACTTCTATAACTTCTCAATCCAAAACATACTCTTTGAAAGATAGTTGAGATCAATCTAAGGAGTGGAGTAAGTAAGCTTCCAGATTCTAATTCTTAATACCAGACAAAATGAGTTGCTACAAGGACTACATTTTTCAAGAGAACTATATGAACACACTTGTCAGCAATCTGAATTTGGAAAGGCTTTTGCAGAGAAGTTTTACAATTCTCAGCAACACTGGCAAGTTTGCAGAGTGAGCTTTGTTTAGTGCAAGCTGCTTGACCTGCACAAACTGCACACATTTTCCCATAGTGTATTGACTGAATAGAGGCAGCGGCATAGCAAGATCTGTTCATGACCCAGAATATGCAGAAGTTTTTCTTATTAGCTTGAATAGATATTCTCGTTTTTGCCATAGCAACATAATGAGCCTTCCCCCCCCACCCCTCCCTTGTCTTTTCTTAGTTTCACTCCATATAAGAACAATCAATAAACATTTATTTGCAGTAAGGGATTTTTCCTTACCTAACACAACCCTATCGTTTTCCATTACTCATTTCATAAAGCAAGTCATCAGTAGTGTTTAGACTTCAGATTTTTAAAAGATAAATACTGTTTGCCGAATGCCTGCCTAAATAGTATTCCGCCCTAGAATAATGTTTTGTTTTTGTTTCCTTTTTGGCATCTAATGAGATATATATTTTTTGAAATGTGTAGATTTAGAATCAGTTTTAGCTGGAGGGCAGAAATAGATGGGTTAGGAATGCAAAATAAATCATTGTGGCTATTTCTAAGTTTTAAAAAAGTTAACCAAATACATAATCTAAAAATGATTTCATATTATTGTATTTTTAGAATCCCCAAACCTCTGTGTTGGTGGCTGTCCAATGTTTTTCTTATTTTCTGGCACAAGAGGTCTGTAGTTGGAGTTGTGCTTCTAATATAGTTATATAGAAGCAAAGAGGCATGAATAAGATTTTCCATGAATTGCTTTTTGGAATTTTCTTGTTTTATTGTGGTCATGTTTAGATTACGGTATTTGAATAAACATTCACTATGGGTGAAATCGTTCTGGTGGGTTTTTTCTACATTAGTTTCTAAGAAAATTATCATCATCATCTGTATCAGTAACACACAAACATATAAGGACCTGTCCCTTCTAAATACCTTATTGGTTTATTTGTGTATCTTTGTATTATACAAAACAAAAAGTTTATGTTGCCCTGAATTATATGCTAGCATGAAACATCAGAAATCCATACTTCCATAGATTTGGAAGGATTTTATTTCTCTTAAATCAGCAAAATTTGGACCATTGATAATTTAATAAAAATGTAATGATTTGCTCAGATCTTCTCTGTAGTAAACACACAAGATTCTTAAGCTTGCAGTACTACATCTTACCTATTATGTTGCTAAGAATCTTTTACTACTTACGCTTTTACTATTAATTCCAAACCTTATTCTCTAATCTATCTGCTAAATCCTATAATCTGTACTGTGTGTTTTGCCTTAGCTTACTTCTTAGCTACCTCTAAAGCTACCCTGCTTTCTGTGTCTTCTTGATCTTCTCTTTCTATGCTAATGACTCCTGCATAGCTGAGTTCCTTTCTAAAGGGCTGGCTTGACTGATCTACAAGGGTGTGTTCATAAGATAAAGGGTGCAGGAGGTGCAGATGTTATGTGGCGCTTCTTCCATACATCAATGCCTTTCTCTCCCTTACGAATATTTCCACTTGAGCAAACACAGGAGCTTGAAAATGGATCAATATCCAGATTGGTTAATTGATACTATACTCTTATGTAAATTTACTCTAAAGGGATTGTTTATCCCCAAGTATCCTAAACCAATATGCATAGGGTTATCACATGAAACATTTGAGATACCAAATTTTATAATCCATTCAAAAGTCTTTTTACCTATTTAATATATAAATAATTAATATTTTGTCTCAACCCCCCTCCCCCACAAAAAAAATTGGTTAGGACTCCACAGAGATACCATTATGGACTAGTAAGAAACTAAACTGTACTCTTAAGAAAAAGTTTCCAAGTTATGTATCTCAAAAACTAGAAGTAGTTCTGTGCTGATTTAGATGCCATTTCCTACATATCCTGCTGTAACTAGCTGTTGTGGCCCAGCAGGATCCAATTGAGCTGCTGATGGACTCGGATAGCGAGGAACCATATGAGTCTGCCCTGGACAATGTGGAAGACCCGGGGCAGGGTTCAGATCAGAGCAGGGACCAGAGAGGCTGGTTGGCCACCAAGAGGCGCCTGAGGCATGGAGCAGTGGGGAGGATCAAAGATAGTTTGTCCCTGATGCTAGATTGAGAAGGGCTGAGAAACGGATGCAGCAACTCTGTAGGCAGACTC